AGAAGCTGTCAGGCTCATCGTTCCCAATCATGCATAGATAGACCAGCATACGGAATTTCTGCGAAATTGCTTGCACAAGACCACTGCTTTCATGTTGTATGTGACCGGTCCCAGGCAAGAGGTGCTCGAAAAGCTTATGGTAGGCCGCAATCTCTGAGCTGAAGATCAATGATGAAATTTTACACGTACTACTAACCGCTGCATGCCTGCTAGTGTCAGCTGCGCTGATCATTGATTTTTTTTTTTTGCCAAATTGCACATCGAATGTATTAGACCTGTTTCAACGGGCTGATTGAGTGTGCTAAAAGCAAAGTTTTTTCTCAACTGCATTAATATCACTTGGATCATGATATGCTCATACAAAAACATGTCCGGTCTCAGACTTCGAGTTTCTTCAACTTCACACTAACTCTCCCAGGTCTTAAAATAGCACTAACGAGCTGACATATCCATAATAAACTTCAACACTTACACCAACCACTTCACCATTCCTAGAACTTCTTAAGAAAAAACTCACAGCACTCAAACGTTTTTACCAGGGTGGCCGAGAGTGCGACTCCACCCCTCATCCTGCACCATTCAGTCTCGGTCCTCTCCGCAGTGAAGGCGGCATTCTGCGAACGGTTCACTGGCGATTCTCGAGCTCCTCTGTCACATGTCAACCAGCCGCCCACAGTCGCGTGTGGGCGGGGGCGGCGGCGGCGGCGGCGGCGGTAGCACTAGTTGCGCTCAACGATTAGGCGCGGGCGGCGCGTCGAGCGAGCGACGGAGGCGACTGGGTATTGGAACCAGGCCCTGCTGGGAGCCAATGAAGCCGGCGACACAAAATGAAACTGAGCCGCCGAACGGCTCACAGCGGGGGCAGAGTCCACGCGCGAGACCGCGTCAAAACTGGGCGGGATGTGACGACCAGCGCAATGTTCTGTTACGTAACTAGATGAAACTGGTCGGTTTCAACGCCGCAGTAATAATTTAGATTCTATCAGCTGACACTGGAAACCAAAATGCTCATGAAAGTGAAATGGTGTCTGAGTGTTGGAATGCGGAATATGGGCGAGCGAGGAGGGGAAGTTGAGACCGTGTTTCCGCCAAAAGAGAAAACAACCAAGGTAGGTGGTAGGTAACTACACCTGCGCTATCTACATCAGCTGCCCCGCATGACACTAATGGGACCGTATTAGAGCCGGCGATAATCACGGAACATTAGTGTCGGGGCAGACTGCGGCGGGGGCAGACTGCGGCGACCCCTAGGATGAACAACTAGGGAGAACAACATTCGACAGATGGCAGCACTAGACGAGATAATCAGGCAATACTTTAATATTAATGGGAAAGAAATAATGCCAATGTTTGCCCTCACCAAGCATGTTACCACGACAATGGAAGAATGTAGTGTAGTACCCCTCCCCGGGCCCGCCGCGGGCTGGCAGCGGCGGCCGGAGCCGGTCCGACCTTTGGCCGGCCGGGTCAGGTAACCGGGACGGCCGCGCCGCGGCGCCGCGCCGGGGCCGGCCGGGAGACGGAGTCGGGTGCCCGCCGGCGAGCCGTCGGCAAGGGCGCGGGGCACATTAGTCGAGTTGAATGTTCACTGTTCAGTCTTGAGTGCGAGTGATGTATGTGTGAATCGATATGTGAGCAGCAAAATCCAACAAGAAAACAAAATCCGTGAAAGAAAGGCAACGCTGGCAAACATCACCACCATAGTCTTCCTACGCCGAACGGGTTCCACACCAACGTGCATCAGCGAGAGTAAAACTAGGATACTAACAGACCCGCCCACCGCCCCACCGTCACCCCATTCCTTCCCAAGTCTCCTTCCCCTCCGCTCGGGGCGTCTTTCAGCTACGCAAGAAGGAATCGGCAGACACAGACACCTGGGCGAGCGAGGAGGGGAAGTTGAGACCGTGTTTCCGCCAAAAGAGAAAACAACCAAGGTAGGTGGTAGGTAACTACACCTGCGCTATCTACATCAGCTGCCCCGCATGACACTAATGGTGTCTGAGTGTTGGAATGCGGACATGTCCAATGTTAATGATCCTCATCAAGCAATAGACATCTCTAGTTTCAAGAAATGCGAACGAGGGCTTTGAAAAATGAGCCAACTTTAATGCAGCCTATTTTCTGAGGATGATGCATGATGCTTCACAATGTACTTGTTCCGTATCAGTCTCTTGAGAAATGTAATGCTATGCGGATGAGCGGTAGCTTCAGCTTGAAACAAAGTCCTTTCGAGACAGATGCTATCGCGCACGGTTGTTGGCTGTGAGTTTGAATTAATTGGATTGTTGACTTGATAATTATCCACAAACTTTCCCTAATTCTTATTCAAATACCGTCATTGGTGGTGACGTTAAATAAAGTAAGCTGCGACAGCTCAAAGACCCTTATCACTATCGATTACATTGAAAACTTTACGAAAAACGAGACCTACTTGAGCATCGGTTAACTTGACACTATTTTTAGCTACATAATTACGATGACAAATGAGTTGCAATGGATCGTTTCGTGAAACGATGCTTTGCTCTGGTACAGGGCCTCGGCTAACATGTTAACTACTGGGGCAAATGCCCCAGTAGAGTCAAGGAATGCCCCAGTAGTGGTCAGGCTTTGCCCAACCTCCACAAAATGAGAATACATCAATATTAAGGTACATTCTTTCATTCGGGAGCGGTTGAAGACGTTTGTGGCAAGAAATCAGGGGCGGCGGAAGAGGGAGTTACGGTGTGCAGCTGCACCCTCAATTTCCATTAAAGAAAAATAGGCTGCATTGGCAAACATATCTTTTTGCACCCCATAATCCATCTTTGTTTCAAAGAGCGTCAAAAATAATGACGAGATTACTTCGGCCACTTCGGCAAATTACTTGGTCAGGTCAAAGGTCAGGTCATGGTGAAGACCAAATTTCGCCCATTTTCAGGTCGAATATCGACAGTTTACAAGATGCCGACGCATAACTCGGGAACCAATTAGAGCTACAGCACCGCGGAAAAGCGCATTTGATAGCCATATTAGCATGCTTTCTGCCTCTGGTTATTTCTCTTAGATTTGACCTAACGTCAACGGTTTTGCCTGCAAGGGGCAAAAACTACCAAAATAGACGATTTTTCGGGAACAATTTTTCTGCAATAACTTTTGACTCATGCCTTGCACGAGCTTTCTTTTACCGACATCGTGTTCCTCTCGTCAAGATATCAAATTAACTACAATTTGACCTTGAACGTCAACTTGAAAATTCGACCTCAGGTCAAGGTCATGATCTGACCGGAAATTGTCATGAGTTGCATATCAGTCGATCTGAATCGTCGAGCCAAACACAACTAAGGCATTTTCATCGCTCTAGCATGCCTCTTTCAAAGTTATTCGCGAAAAACTGTTAGATACCATTCGTGAACTGAGATGACCTCAGGGGCATAAACAAGGGTCACGGGTGCTATTTTCATGTTCAGTGTGTCGAAGTCACGTACAGTGTTTCATAGTGTTTAGAATAACTTTCCTCCAAAAGAGGTGGTTTTGAATTTTCTCCCATTGACTTATAATAGAGGTCGCAAAATTGAGCTGACCTTAGGTCACCGATGTGAAAATTCCGAGATATAAATTTTGTACATGCTGTTGCTCTTATCAACCGCTGAAAGTTTCAAAGCGATCGGTCACTTCGTCGGTGTAGCTACGGCATACCTACATTGAAACATTTTATGAGATGAGGTCACTTGAAGTGACCTGGTGACCTGATCTTGAATGATCTTGGTCTGAAATTTTTACAACACGTGTAGAATTGATGGATGAAGGAGCGCCGCCGTTTTTGAGATATCCGCGAAAAACCTCAGGAAAAACCGCAGGTGTTCAACCCCCCCCCCCCCCCCCAGCAGGGCGCCAACACACTTTGACGATTTGCCCCAGTAGTCAAAATTCCTTAGCCGAGGCCCTGCTCTGGTACAGAGATGATAAATAATATTTCCTTATATAAGCACGTAATATCCATGTAACCCGAACTATCCTATCAGCGTTGTTCGCAGAATGACTCCATTGACCGAGCTGTTCCGACTATGCTAGCGAGCGTTGTGGACACCACGCCACGGGAGACGGTGCCATCTGCAATATCAGCCCGTGACCGGAAGGGACCTTTGGCGCCGGCCGATCAGCCGGCTGATTGAGGCACGTTTTGGGAATGGCTCGTTGTGGAAGCGGCGGCAGCTTCCGGCGCTGATTGTGTTAGCGTTTTTAGTCGGCACGCGTGTCGCAGTTCACCATCGACGCCGTAACGACTTTAGGTGGCCTCGGTTGACGCCAGTCAGGCTCAGAAGGTGTCCGTTTGTCCCACAGTAATCGGTTTTCGGTCTTTTGACGGCAGCTGTATGCAACAGTCACTACTCACCACTTGGAAGGCGTCCGCCCAGCGCGTTCCTGGGGCTTCCCCTGTCGCCCTCCCTGCCGTCGTCCGCGACGCCGGCAATCCTCGGGGAGCAATCGCTCCGGAGCGATGGCTCGGCCCAGACGGACGGCCGGCAGCGCTGATGAACCGAGCTGCGACGATAGAAATGTGCCGCTCTCTCCCTGTGGGCAATGACGGTGGTGACGGTGGCGATGGTGGGGGGGGGGGGGGGTGGGGGGGGGGGCGATGGTGGTCGCTGTGATGGTGTTGGCCATGGTGGTAGCGACGGTATGTATGTATAGAAACGGTAGCAGCTGAGGCGATGGGGAACGGGAGAAACGAACGCTACAGTCACGATGTTATGGCAGGAAATATATGTGAGTCAGCAATAACTCTTTATCTGACTACCAGGAACTACAAATGTGTGTCTTGACCTTAGGATTTCCCAATGTTCCTTGCCTTGGCGGCTTGGCCTTTGATGTCTGACCTTCCACCGCGTGTTCCAATACCCGACGGGTCTCTTGCTCGTCAACTTTGACTTCCTTCTCGTCTAACTGGTCGCCTGTCTGACCTTCGGGTGTTAACGGCGTGACCTCTGACCCCGTCGCTGACCTCCGCTCTCTCTCGGCAGCGGCCGCGACATGAACGTGGTCATGGACGACTACAACCGTAAGCTGGAGGGGTACGAGATGCGGCGGCTGCAGCGGATGGGCCCTTCAGGCGCCAGTCTGACCCACACCGGCTCGGCGCGCGAGCTTCAACACATGGGCTCGTCGCTGTCCAGCAACCAGCCGTCCAACGCCTCGTCCCCGCCGACGCTGCGCATCTCGCCGGCGGGCCTACCGGCGCTGCACAAGGGCGCCATACCGCCGGCACACCGCCACCACCACCGGCCGCACAGCCGCAGCTCGGCGCCCGACACCACCAACGGATTCGGGACGCGCCTGCAGCGCATGGGTTCCAGCACCACCGACTCGCCGTCGCCGCAGCCGCAGACGTTCGTGTCGTCGATGACGGTGCCGGTGGGCGCTTACCGGCCGGCGCCGGCGCACGGCGGCAGCGCCCTGCAGCTGGCCGGCCTGCCGCCGGGCCCGGCCGTCCACCGCGCCGGCTCACACGGCCGGCTCGAGGGCGCGCCGGCCTCCATACGCGGCGGACACGAGCCACCGCGGGAGATGCGCGAGCCGCGCGGCTCGCGGCCCTCGCGAGCCGGCTCGCAGAGCTCGCGCGCTGGCTCGCAGTCGGTACTGACGAGGATGGAGTCGGGAGAGTCGGAACCGCCGGCGACGTCTCGATCGGCGAGCACCTCCCACCTGCCGCTGAGGAGCACCTCCATCTCTTCGCTCAACTCGTCCGAGTCGTACCCGAGTCAGGAGCAGCAGTCACACTTCTCGCTGCGCTCGGCCCACTCTCACCACTCGGTCCGGTCACTGTGAGTACCCGACGCGCCACGCGCGAGCTGATGATGGGAGACATGTGCTGCATGCTGTGCACTAACGTGCACTTTTTGAACCTGGTTAGAGCGTTTGCGCAGACCCTACATATTTCCGGTTACGAAAGACTTGTTATTTGAGTTGATATCAAAGAATAAGACAAGAACGAAAACAAAAACACAAATTACGAAGCCCACGACGTTTCTTGTCAATTTGTGTGGGCGGAGACAAACACAGCAACAAACAGGCCCTTCACAGCTCCTCAAGTTCAACTGGGAGCACATCTCTGAGGCTGGTCAACACGCCTCGGTCGGCAACTTCGATACTTGTGAAAACTCAAGGGTCTATCCCGAAGCATAGTTTGACAGCTCAACTACTTTGCATTCCGGCAGAGCTAAGGCACTCTGCAGGCATTGGATAAAAAGTTTGCCGTACTTTACACTACACTTGAGGAGCAATTCCTCAAATGCTGGAAATTCAGGAGGTGAAGTTTCTCTTTTTAGCATTGGTTATCGCTGCAGACGGCAGTTTCACGGCTCGGTAGTGATGGCCGCCTCAGATGGAAGGCAGACGGACGTTTCGCCGATTGAATAACCGGCCAGAGTGACCAGTTTCGCGGAAACATTTAATCGTGGTAATTAGGCACTGGATCGGAAAGTTCCCATCAGATTTCGTGACATCCGGCCTCAAAGTTCCATGAGACCTCGGTCGGCAAGTGCTTCTGGACTGAGACTGAATTCTGGACAAGTTTGGTCCGCTAACAGCACCAGAGCATTTAGGTTTGGATTAACCCGCGCCCTGCTGGGGGGGGGGGGGGTGGGGGTGTTTGAACACCCCCCTTGTGGTTTTTCGCGAATATCTCAAAAACGGCGGCGCATATGTTGTGAAAATTTCAGACCAAGGTCATTCAAGGTCAGGTCACCAGGTCACTTGAAGTGACCTCACCTCATAAAAAGTTTCAATGTCTGTCATAGCTACACCGAGTGACCGATCGCTTTGAAACTTTCAGCGATTGCTAAGAGCAATAGCATGTACAAAATGTATATCTCAGAATGTTGATATCGATGACCTAAGGTCAGGTCAATTTTGAGACCTCCCCATTACCCAGCCAGCAATTCGCTTGGGCTAAACTATGGCAAACGTCGGGCAGCTTGGGCTTAGCTTGGGTTTGCCCACTTCGATCAAAACCAATGCATTTTTTACTTGGGCTGAGCTTGGGCATGCCGCAGCTATGCCCGAGTGTTGCCAGCTGCAGCTCAGCCCGACATCCGCCCGCGCAATCAAAGCAGGCTCAACTTGGGCGGAGCGCGGGCTGATCAAGCTGGTTGTCTCCTTTGGCTAACTGGAGTAAAGCCGAAGTTGAGCCATACTTGATCGGCTGTTCACGCATGCGCATTTCTGCGCCAGTCACGTTTTGCTCGGGCTTACATCGGGCTACCGCCAATCGTCGCACAACTAGGGCTAAGCTACGGCTGTCCGGAGCTCGCAGAGCGGGCATACCTCCGGCGGAGCATGGGCTTTAGTCGGCGTTTTTGTGTCATACGCCGACTTTAGCCCAAGCCCTAGCCGACTTTAGCCCGACTAAAATCTCGGGCAAGCCGCACTTTAGCCTGCTTGGGCCCGGAGTAAAATTGCTGGCTGGGTATAAGTCAATGGAGAAAATTGAAATGCACCTCTTTTGGACGAAAGACATTATAAACACTCCTAAACACCGAATTACAAGTGGTTTAGACACACTGAACATGAAAATGGTGTCCGTGACCCTTGTTTGTGCCCTGAGGTCATCTTAGGTCACGAATGGTATCTAACAGTTTTTCGCAAATAACTTTTGATAGAGGCATGCTAGAGCGATGAAAACGCCTCATATGTGTTCAGCTCGACGATACGGATCGACTGATATGCAACATGACCCTTTCCGGTCAGGTCATGACCTTGACCTGAGGTCAAATTTTCAAGTTGACCTTTCAAGGTCAAGTTATAGTTCATTCGAGGCGTCTTGACGAGAGGAACACTATGCCGGTGAAAGTAAGCTCGTACAAGGCTTGGGTCAAAAGTTATTGCAGAAAAACTGTTTCCAAAAAAATCGGCTATTTTTGCAGTTTTTGCCCCCTGCAGGCAAAACCGTTGACGTTAGGTCAAATCTGAAAGGATTACTCAGAAAGGGCGTTAATAGAGCTATCGAATGCGCTTTTCCGCGGCGCTGTAGCTCTATTGGTTCCCGAGTTATGCGTTGGGTTCTTGGAAATTGTCGACATTCGACCTGGAAATCGGCGAAATTTTGCCTTCAATGACCTCTGGTGACCTGACCTTTGACCTGACCAAAAAATTGACCGAAGTGATTTCCTCATTATTTTTGACGCTCTTTCGAACGCCGCCTTCCGCGTATCGCTACGTGGCCCAGGAGCCGAGTTAGAAGGGGGGTGTTCAAACACCCCCCCCCCAGCAGGGCGTGGAAATCCAGGACCCCCAGCCGGGCGCGGGTTAAATGATAATGATTATTTTTTTCAGCTAAAACATGAACGAGATTCAAAAAGAAATCATTAGACTGGCTGCTTCAGCATTTCCATCTTGTATTTTTTTTTTTTTTTTGCTTTTAGTATACCCTTCTTCGTTTGCTATATTATTACAGGCAGGCTCTCCATTGTACACGTACAGATGTGCAATGACATATTGCTAGGAAATTTAGTGATTTAATGACCTGTTATATAAGCAGTCACACAGGCATCATGCATTACGAAATCCGCGGAGAAATAGGACAGATGCAGGATATCATGCGTCATTTTATCCGCATACTTTACCACATAGTTAATTCCTTACCATGTCTTTAGCATGAAACGACGAAATGCGGCATCACAATCACGACAAACACTGCGTCCCGACGTAGGGTAAGGGCGGGTAAGAGTACGCGGGCGATAAGAGTACGCATCAGCTGTTCTGGTTGCTTAGCAACGCGGGCTTGTCGAGTTCATGAAGTCAAGATTATTAGAACATAAGGTTGGACAAATTGTGACGTCACTGGTGCTTGGAATATTTTTTCTAGTATCCCACTAGACAGGCCTAGTTGAAACTAAATTTGAAGGGAGGGCAATCCATTGCCAAGTGTCTGATTTTGTGAAAATAATTGTTGGAAATATAAAGTAAGGCACCATGGACTTGTTTTACATTGGGAACAGATGATATAAAAAGAAAAAGAAATGTTTTACGATACAACTAAACTAGATAATTTGGTACAAATTCATAGACGTATAAATAAACTGGACTGGCAATTCGAAGGGACCTCCCATGGAAGATAGTGGCGCCGACAAAGCGTCGCCAAAAATCTGTGCTGTGAAACGTTGTGAAGCAAATAAATTTGTAATTATTTTTAAATGGATGATCGGATCGAGGTGATGGTCGTGCCGTTTGACGTGCCATTTCCGGAGGCAGGTGATGGTATAGGTCCCGGGTTACTCTCTGTCACGTGGCGCGTGTGACTTGCCGACAAACACATTGAGAACAAAAACCTTTTATCGAAGCTTTAAGCCAATCCGAGGGAGGTCCAGGTGCCAAATTTGTAGGTCACATGTCCCGGTACCAAACCACTGACATATGGAATAATCGGCACCGAGAGATACATATTGCACATGCTCGGGGCGAAAAACATGTTTTGATGAGGCATTCTCCGACGTCCGAAAACTTTGACCTAAGCACCTAAAACTCGGCACAATGGCACAACATGGACAAACGTTTGAAGGCGTTGTACGAATAGATGTGCTGAGATGCACGGTCCACATGCTTCGCACGTGGAAACCTTTTGATATTACACTTCGTGTTACGCATACGTGCGGAACGATATATTTATATTTCCGAAGCTAAGCATCGTAGTGACACGTGCAAGGTGGCGTTGGAAAAGTTTCACCGAGGCGCATCAGAAGTATGCCCTAAAATTCCGAACTTGAGGCAACGTGGTCAAGGTCAGATAAAATTGACCGGAAAAGGTCAATTAAACCCTCGCCGTTTGGCCACTGATTGAACTAGAGCTTCGCATAAAAGAGCGTGTTGCCCGTGACAAGAGCAAGCCGATGATACCCAATTTTAAGGTCCTAGCTCATTGGTTGACCTTCCAGGTCAGGTCAATGACCCAAAAGTCGGGAAAATCGGGACCTGTTAGAACGTCGTAAAGTGTGGTTGCTACGAGGTTTTTCGCGGTGCTGATCACGAACATCATGTTAGTTTTGATCACAGATGATGTCTTCATGCATTTAGGCCAGGTCAGGTCAGGTCAGGTGAAGGTCACCCAGCAGGGGTCCAGCCGGGTATTCATTGTAGGTGTCAACCGCCACTGACAGCTTCGTAACATGTTACGAAGGCACCAGAACTACTTCGAAGCTGTTGAAAGAACTGCTAAATTCGAAATCAGCTCCAAAAACTATCCTAGAAACATGTAAAACTCGAAAAAGTGAACTGAGGTCATCAAAGGTCAATAACCTGACCTGACCTTCAGGCGACCTTGACACCCACAATAATGCATGGGACCAATATCATTTCAGATGTTTAAATGTTTGAAACCACAAAAACACTGCAATCGCGCGGATACTAGCTGACATACGCAGAATCGCGATTCCGGCCAAACATGGTCTCGAGGAATAGGTTACAGGTCAAAGGTCAATTTGGTCAGGGTCCTGATTTTTAGGGTAGATTTAAAATTAATTTCCTCGAGGGTACTGAAGGTTTTGTCGCGATCGGCGACTTTTTACGCGAGTTAGGTATTCGCGAAAAACGGAGGGCAGGGGGGTCCGGTCGACCCTCCCCCCTATAAGCGCGTGGGTTAAGAATTTGACCTCGGGTTAAGGTCACAGAAAAGGTCATGTTGGATGTCATTCGATTTGTATTGCTGAGCTGAACACATTAATGGTCATTTCAGCTCTCTAGCATATTTCTATCTTAAGTTATGGATTGTCAAAAAATGTTGGAGACGTTTAATGACCTGAAATGACCTCAGGGGCATAAACGGGTCATA